CCAGGAGGATGCTCTTAATGCACAGATACGTCTGTGCTCCTAACAGGCAAAACCCTTCAGATCCAGTCCTAATGAGAGCACACCATAAACTTCACCAACCCCACATGAAGTGCTGTCAAATGTGTGCCATATTCAGTATGCAAGTCTGAAGTACAGAAAACAGCAGGTCAACAATAGCAGGCAGAAGGGGCAAATGTGGTGAACCACCAAACACCACGTGTAGTCCTGGTTCTGCAGGCACTGAAATACAGCTTAGAATGAAACGGGAGCTGCTACGCACATGACGATATTGTCCCATGTTTCAACAAGAGAAATGGCCTCATGCCAAGTAAATTAATCATCTGCCTTCTGGGGGCAGGCTAATTCAGATCGATTAAAAAAAAAAAAAAAAAAAAAAAAACATACAAAGAGGTAACTCATCAAAGCTTCTCCGGGGCTAATCAGTTGGGGAAAAAAGATAAAAGTAATCATTAGTGTTTTAGTTCTTACCAGCTGGTACTGTGATTTATTTACTGCACATTGTTAGGAAAAGAACTAGGGTAGTGGTTAGAAAGTAAAAGATACAAATAATGGATGGTTGGTAACTGTCAAAAGGCAATGGACCATTTTCTGCCTAGGAATTTCATCTAAAATGGCACTTCCAACAGAAATTAAAAAGAAAAATTGTAAAGCCCTCACTCACTTTTCTCAGTTCGTTTTTTTCCCCCCCCCCTTTTTTTTTTTAATAAGTAAATAAGTCTATTCATTTCTATGTGATGTTGTCTTTTGGAAAGAAATACATGCATATACATGTAAACAAAATGGATACTTATATTAAAAACGCTGACAAATAACAATGATTTAAGAGGTTTTAAAAGGTGAACTAAAAAACACAAGCTAATCATCCGTACACGTTATCCATCAAAAAGAAAATAACCTATAGTTGAGTGTGGAAGCTTTATAAAAACAGATGTTCAAAATGTACAGTTTTCTCCTTCCAAGGTATAGAAATGCTTTTTGTCAGCTGATTCTTGGAAGCTGCGTATAAGAGAAACTGCAAGTCATTTGCAGGTGCACTCAGCTGCTGGCTTCACTACAATCACCCTGTGCTTTGAGCATGGAATAACAAAACTAAGTATAGCAGGAAGGCACAAAGGGCACTTCAAGAGTCTACATCAAAAACAAAAAACAGATATTTTTAAGATTTTTTTTTTTTTTAATAACACACAATGTTTACAGGCAAATGACCATGGGATAACCCCACCTTTATTTTGATGAAAATGATTATCCTCTTAAAGTGATATGCTAAGCAGTGCCTAACATCACCACATCTACTGGAAAAGACTGAAATAAAAACAACTTTAAATTAGTCACCTCTGAATGAGTAACAACAGGAATAGTCATACTGGAAAAAGTAGAAAATTAAGTATGTTGAATCCAGTTTTTCATTCAGAAATCCTGTTCTGACTACTAGTGGAGAATACAAAGTCTTGCTACACGCGAAGGATTTGTGTTTGTCATTAAATCGATGAAAGGTACAGGAGATGAGGTTTATGCGCAGGCGCTGGTATTTGATATGAGGAGAACAGAGAACTATCATCACACAGGTAACAACCTCATGTGCATGAAGGCTGTATCACATAGAGCCAAGAAGCAGATTACAAGTTATTGCATGAATAGGTCATTTCCTTCAAACACAGACCATCATTGGAAACACTTCAAAAGACACATACTTGGGATTTTTCATACTTTTATTTTATTGTCTTTACACAAAGTTTAAGAATGACAATATAAATATATCTTACCTTCAAATGCCAAAACAGAAGGCCACAGTTTGAATGAACAAGCCATAAAAACATCAAATCTTATAGCACGCAAATTCCTAACTTTTGCTTCCTCAGATGTTAAAAATTATTGTAAATTGATAGATGTCAAAGAAACAACACTCAGGAAATAACGTATTAGCAATCCCAGCAGGCTTAAGAGTTGCTGGATCCATTTACTGGAAAACAGTTTCATAGAGATGAAGATTAAAGACATCACTGTACTATCTGTGTTAATCTTACAGGTTTTCAAGTGACAGAGAACTTTTTACTTCTTGGCCTTAAAGACAGAAACTAGGCTACTGTGTTCCAATACACACCAAAAAATTAAGCTGCTTCATGCAGCAGATCGCCACAAAGGCCAAGTCGTATGCAACAGTAGGAAACTTATTATTGGTAAGATTGCTACGACTTCATGATCCCACCAGACAATTCATGTGTTGTTACTACATGTGAATTCCTCTGCAGCGCTCACATGATAAACTTGATTTTCAGCACTTGAACAAAGACAACACAACATTCATGAATGACAGCTTCCTGTATCCCTTCAAACAGCTACAAACATGATTTGAACACTGCAAAAATATACACAACTCAAGTTTAAATCCAAGTTGTTTGGTTCCAGGTGGAAGAAAAGTTGTTTATATTGTCTGTAAGTATCCCATATAGAAGAAGAGACGTGAAGACTTCTAAGGGTTTGAAGATTGAAAATGGATTTTTAAAAGTTCAGAAACAGAAAGCTGCTATTTCAATCCTAAACTACAAAGAAAAAAGAATTCAGATGTATTCTTCTTTAAAAAAAAAAAAAAAAAGTGGCTATTAGAACTAAACCAAGAAAGGAGTTCCTTTGGCAATATTTGATTTTCTTTACAAGTAAGACCTAATGTCCAAAAAACTGAAAAACACAGCAACATTCACTCAAGTAACAGGAAAGACATACACGACATTTTAACACTTGATACTAAAATCTACTAACAAGACCAGGAAAAAAAAAGTATTTAGAAAGCAAGCAGTAGGAATACTGCATCAGCGCAAACAAAAAAAATCTCAAAAAACTACCTGAAAACAAAATCCATGGAGCATGATGCTTGTTGCATATACATTTTTAAAAATTTCATTTGAGCTAAAAACATCCAAGACCTTTTTGTTTAATCAAAAACAAAGCCTTCCCTCCTCCCTCATTTCCTGTGGCTGATTCTGTACTTGCCTACTGAATCACCAGGGACATGCACACACACACAACTCCACTACATGCACACACTAAAGACCTATGCAATAAGCCTCTCAAAAAAAAAAAAAGCTCACATACCAGGCAAAATTACAATTTTATTCTACAATTTCAATTTTAAAAACACAAAATCCCTATGTTTCCCTTAAGTATTGAACCTTTTTTCACGTGCTGCTTTGATTTTTGAAAAGCTAAAACCCCTTGCCTAACAATGAGATGTTTAATTTTCTCTCAAGCTAGAAACTTTTTCTTCTTATGTTCTGCCTTCATATTCCTTTTGCCTTCTCTCCTCTTTCCTCACTCTTCTGTATAACTTAGTTTCCACTCCTTTTTATAAGGTTGCTCTTCATAAAAAAAAAAAAAAAAAAAAAAAAAAAAAAAAAGAGCCAGTGCCCTTCTAATGACAGACTTAGGACATCTTCGTCACTTTTATTCACCTTAATTCATTTATTTTTCTTCCACAACTTACCATTTCATTTTCAAAGACAATTTCCTGAAGTACCTCTTAGATCCCTAATTTTCTTTCCTGTCTGACTTTCCATATGCCTTTTTTAAGCTTGCATTTTTGGGTCATTACTTCTTTCCCACTGTGTTCTACTTCTAGATCATTTAATCATCACTAACAAAATGAAATATGGAAAGGAATTCTCACAGCTGTAAGTACTCCACTCCCTTTATTTTTTCTTTTGAGACTCCAGAATGAGCATAAATAAATAAAAGACAAATCCATTTAGTTGTTTTTATCATTTTTCATCATTATTCTCTTTTTCAACATCACCTGTGAGCATTTACTGTATGTTAAGCATACACTTTACAAAACCCTCACAATCATATTCAGCTGATTTAATGCATCATATTGAAAACCTTAAGACCTAGAGAGAACGCATAAGGCATTCTTTGCCTTCACATAACAAACACTAATTTTCAAAACAGCCCCCATTACAACACAACAAACTACTGTGGCAGAAGATGTTAACAGTACCAGTCTGCCAACACACACTTGGGTTTTCCTGTTTAAGGATGATGATATGTACACCCTTTTGCACACTGTTGTCTCATTCCTGCTCATATACTGACACATGGCAAATAAAGACGTGGTACACTTCACCCAACACTGACTTTAAACATTAAGCTTCAACATTAAACATTAAGATTGGAGTACAGAGAGTTTGATTACAATAAGTTACAATATTACGTGTTATTTTAATCATTGTGCTTCAAAAGAAACACGACATTCCTCCTAGCAAGCACTGCTTAAAACTTCACCATCTCTGCGATACTCAGTTTGTAACCATTAAAACATGGAGTTTCTTTATTCATGCTGATAACTCTCTGCATGGGCAGAAAGTTCACCTTAAAATACATAAACCTGTATTATTGTTTTCCTTGTATTTGTCTGCACGATGAACCCTGTTACAAACTAGGCAACAGTCTTTTTAGGGTGAGCTTGCTGGTTTTTCTGTTTGCATCTGGATAACACCAAATCTGAATCAGGTACAGACTTAATCTCTGACTGAATTCTGCATGTCAATTAGCAATAGAGGAGCAAATATCTCATTTTTAACTAAAAACATTAAGAACTGGAGATGTTCTTATTTTTTCCACAGGCACTTAACTCCTCAAAATTCTTGTGTGCATGTGCAAGATGTCTTCCAAAAATGCTGCCCTACTTACACTACCTACAAAAATTAAGCATAGAACTAAACAAGCAGGAAACTAAACATGATGTGAAATGCTGATTTAAAGAAAAATAAACAAATAAAGTAGGCATGAAGACAATCAAAGTATACCAGGGTATGTGCAACTTGGTATTTTGTTACCTGACAATGAGGCTTTAGCAGACCAGAGTCTGCAGATAACTTGCTTGCCCCAGCCATAAGAAACATGCAAACTTGAAATAAAGATAATAGCTGTCTCAGCAAGATGGCACATTGCTGTTGATCTAAAGTCATTTTCTTAAAAATACTTACCACTAAGTCCCAGTTATTTTGTTCAAGCAAAGTTATAGCTTCATCAATATTTTCTATACCAGTACATGCCTGGAAAGAAAAAGAAACAGTAAACTGAATTAAAAGCATTGATCAAATTATTAATACTTATGAATTAATTAATTTCAGCAGAATGACAGGAAATGTATAGGTCTTTGATTTCTGTTAGGAGAGGATAATGCAAAAATTAGATTTCAAGTTTCAAGCATCCAGAGGCTTGGATATAGTTCCCTCTTCCACCAGAAATTCTTCTGTAACCTTGAGCAAGCCACACACAGAAACAAGTAGTTGTTTGTAACAGGACAACAGCGCAGTCTCATAAAGGTGCTTTGAGATTTCCAGGTTCAAAGCTCTGAAACACTTCTATTACCTTAAACGAACCACAAAAATACTTATTTGAAGTTTGAGTTGTTGTTGTCTAAAACCAAACCCAACTCTACAGCTTCCACCATCACTTGATACCCCTACACACTGCGGGTGTTACACAGCCCTGTAACTGGAGAAGAAGGTGGCAAGTGTGACTTTCTGACCCATCCAAGTGCAAAGGAGCACCCTCGTGAAACTATTTAAACCAAAGACTATCTAATGGAACATTTAAAGTGTTTTCCTTTCAGATAACAGGAAAAAACTCGCATATCGTTCTAGCCCTATACACTGGCTGGAATAATAGTTCAACAAATGTAATGCAACAGGATTTTTAAAGTAGTGGTAACATCCATCAAAATGGTACCGTAAATTGAGCTTAATTCCAAATACAAGAGAGCACCTTGCTCAGTGAAAACCTTGGTCCAGCACCCTCTTTTTTTGCTATCAATACCTTTCCGACTATTCAACTTCAGCTGACAGAGCGCTGCTATTCATTCTGCCACGCAGTCGCTACCTTTCACACTGAATGGTATCAGATGTATTTCAGATGGAAAAAACAGACACAGTTACGCTTCTTTCTAGAATTTATCTTTCATCATAATCAAAGCTATCCTCAGTATTCAAGCACAACGATGAGTTCAGACTTTTACAAGATCTGAAGCATAACAGCGTTCCCTCTGCTCCACCACACAGTTGAATCAAAATATATTTATATAATAAGTTTTATATCAGCTACATAAAAAAAAACAACCAATGTTTTAATAGCACTACTACAGAGTTAACAGCAGCAAACAGATCACTCTTCCCAATTGCAATGATGTCCCGTTTTCCTTTATGTGCTAAAAGAGGAAAATGGCAGGGGGGTAGGAGCACAGAAGAAACCTTTTTTTTTTTTTTTTTTTTTTTTTTTTTTTAACCTCCCCCCTCCCAAAACATACAAAGCCATCAGGTCACACATTTTCCATGTTTGGGCTTGACTTTTCTCTCAGTTTGCAACAATAAATGTATGACTAAAAGAAAGAAATTAAAAAAATAAAAAGCCAGTTGAACTTTTGCTGAAGTGACAGTCCGAGGTTCCAATAGCAAAGAGAAATACACTTAAAATCTGGCCAACTTAGCAACCAAAAGCCACTATTTGCAATTTATCAGCCCTGTAAACCCTACATGACTTTTCAGAGCATTATGCTGTTCCAACCAGCATGTCTCCTCCTGTTATCTTTTTTTAACACCTGTATACAATTCTTAATAAGCAAGGAGAGCAGTTTTGTGGAACGCCCTTGTACCATTTTTACAATCGCCTTTAGTTTTAGTACTGCTCAAAATTAATTGTCAAGATTTCACTTTCCAGATTAACTAATTTTACTGGTTGTCAATAGAAAAGGATACAAACATTTCTGAATGACAATGGATGAATGAACACTACTCAACGTAACCACAAAACCAAGGCTTTAAGATCTTCCTTAACATGCGTTAGTGTCACATTCAGAGCAGACTGTGACTTCAGAATAACATCTCGACATGAAGAAGAATTGAATCAGACGCTACAAACCCTCACGTACAAATTTCTGCCTCAAGTCATGTTCCATCACTGGTCTAAACATCCATAAGACATTTAAAAAGTGTTTCTTTCCTGCATTATAAATTCAAGAAAGTCACCTGGTTTGCACCTCGTTTATTTCCCTAAGGAAGCAGCACACAAAGCAAGTTCTCGCCGACAACCATGTCACCAAGGACTTCTGGAGGGGGAGATCAGTCCCAGCACAACCTGCCCTACCCTTGCTTTTCTTTTCTTCAGGAAGGTTACACAGGAAACCATCAGGTTCTGTGAGCAACAAAACTAGAAGTCTTGCTCCTTCTGGTTTTGTGTCTCATCCCTAATTGCAAGGGCTGATTTAGGCTTTTCCCGTGGCTGGCATACTTATAAAGTCTTGTTTTTATGGACTTCTTTCCAGGTTGTCTGGCTCTATTTTCATGAAATTTAGAAGAATTTCATTAGGAGGGATACCTGGGTTCAAAAGTTATTTGTAGGGACACCTGGGTACCATATTCCTATTTGCCTTACTTCTTTAGGAAGCCAGACTAAGAATCGCAGGGCTTACTCTTTACAATACATAAAGTGTGGGTTTTGCTTTCTTACGCCTTTAATTCTACCCAAAGTGGGGAAAAAAATGAACAGAAATAAGAAAACCTTCAAAATATAGGAACATATGAGCTCCAAAGAAGCAAAACCACGTTTGTTATTACACTGAGTGATGCTGAGAATTCTGCTTTGATTCAGTTCAACTGATTTTGAATTCAGATTTATTTTCTTAAGAGACCTATTTAATAGAAAACATTAAATATTTCAGAAGAAAATTCCTACTAGTAAAGTACTAAATCTTGATTCAAGCATCAGCCAGAACATCATCCAAGTAAAGTTTAAAGCTTAAGCTACCAGAGTAAAGGTAAAACCTCCAACGTTTACCGTTTTGCAAAGCTTTACACACCAAAAAGAAAACAAGGAATTTATCTGAAGGACAAAGGGGGTGGAAAAGTTTGAACAATGCTTTCTCCTCCTCTCTGAATTCCCTCTCAACCTAGGATAGCATTATTACCCTTCACAGCAGCTACAGCACTTCTCTAGAGACTGAGAGTCTCTTCTGGGAATTTTCAGAGGAAAATGAGTATGATGATGACTAAACTCCTGGTTTGCACTGAATGCACAAGCACAGACTCTGAAGATAATGCTAGCAAATGTTAAATTGACTTTCTTAGCGTCCTGCTTTTCCATACCAGGTCTGGGTTTCTACCAGCCAGATTTAGATTTGCATACAGTAAAGTTTCACAGCTCTTCTCAAAATGTTTCTCAGGTAGCTTCACAGCTTAACCACCACCTCCGTTACTGACAGAGCGCTTATCCTGAGGGCAAAGTTTCACAGCTATCCATTACGGGTCCAATTTGTAAATTTAAAGCAACCTTAATCACCATTAAGAAGTAAAGTAGCCATCGAGGACATCATTCAACAGGAGAAAATTTGCAGGGCAGCCAGACTTCCAGGCACCCAAGACAAACCTAGGAGGTGCTTACAGAAGGACTGTAACAGTGTGATGGAAGGCTTGCTCTTCCAAAGTCCTTGCAGGGCAGCCTAACCTCGGCAGGCGTAACAGCTGGATCTGGGTTTTGAGCCCCTCCGTGACCCCCCCACCTCACCAGCGAAGGCTTTAGCCTACCTCCACATCACAGGATTGCAGCTGACTTCCCCATCTGGCGGCAGCTGCTGCTGAAAATGCTCCTCCTGCACCTGCTGCAGAGATCCAGGCAGTTGTTGCACGGCGAAGCGGAGGAGACAACTGCTGCTCCCCACACAGAGAGCCGGGCTGTTACTGCAGCCACCGGGCGAGCAGCAGGCAGCTGCTGCCGCCTCCAAGACAGAGCCGGGCTACTGTTGCCCTGACAGGCAGCGGGTGGCATCTGTTGCACAGAAGCCGGGAGCAAATGGTATCTGGCAGCCAGGCAGAATTCACTCCTCTCGGCTCACCTGTGGCCCCTTGCCCTCCTCGCCAAGGCACAATGCGGCAGTCAGAAGGATCCAGACAGCCAGGTTGAGCCAAACGGCCTGCAGCGAGATAGCAGTGACTCAGAGCCCTGCCTCCCTCGACATTTTGGCTGAGCAAATCCTGTATTTCCTTTGGCTACCAACAGTAACCATGTTTTTTTTTCCCCTCACAAAGGAATCACCCCTAACCCAACCCAGCCTGGGCTTTAGCCTCGAACATTTCACACCACGGGTTCAGAGCCATTCAAATCAGGCTGCCCGATGGCAGTGAATTACATGGAGCATTCTCTCCTCTAAAAGTTAGCTAGAAAAAGCAACTCCCTTTGAACCCAGCTGATCTCCACACACACTCTGCCAACTACATCCTCAGCGGTAACCCAGGGCAGATGCAAACACAGGTACCAGGCTCTGTCCACATAACAAAAAGGATTACACCGGAGCCACAGCTCCAAGTACCCCGCACAGCACCAAGCTCAGACAACCGATCGGCAGGGCACTCACACCAGTTGTCAGCTACAGACTTTCTCCTCTCACTAACATCACACCCGTCTGTCTCAGAGCAAGGCTAAGCTTGCCAATGCCCAGTCCTCAGATACTGAAACAGCTGATACAGACTCTCCTGTGCTGGATGAAATGGGAAAAGAGCTTTCTGTCATCAGCACTTTGGTGCAGCTGAAGCTCAGTCCACCTTTTTAACATTCATACAAAACTACGATGTCAGAGAAAAAACCACCTTAAGGCACAAGATCCAATGGGTGATATCACCTGGGAAGGCAAGCCTTCACCCTTTGGCATCTCCTGCAGAAGGCCAGGAAGGCAGAGCCATTCATCTCTATCACTGCCCACACAGCACCCTAGGAAACGTTTCCTTTCAGAAGTATCCAACGTTTTGTTGTTATTAGATTTAGTAATACAACTGGAGCTCTCTCTATCTCATAAAGATATATGTCCTTCTTCGCCACCTCCTTGCGTACTTCCCTCTCCAACACAGCATCTGCTAGACGTCTGCCCAAACCCATAAAGCTTCAGGACGGTAATTCACCTATGGTATAACCAGAAAGCGAGAAACTTCTCTTTAAAATCCACACAGGCGCTGTCACAGAGGTAACTACATCAAAGCAACTGCATCGGCACACAGCATGCGTCCCT